ATTGCTGGTGTGAACTAAACAACGAATTTATTAGGACAGAATGAGTGCTGTATCCACCCTCCCTGACCCCTCCCTGTCCCCCCTCCACTCCTGTGTTACAAAGCCTAACTAATGGATGTCATCTAATGCCATTGAGTTGAAAATATGAGGCAATTTATGAGTGAAATGCAAAAGTAGAGAGACCAATAAACACCTTAATGTTCCTCTCATTTAGTTTCTGAAAAATTGTGAAAATGCGACCAGGGGAACAGGATTATGTTATACTGTGTTAAGTTTGGTTAGGGTGGTCATGTTATGTTATATTCATTTATGTTAGATTAGTTTGGTTATCCTTGAGGTGAATTTAGCTGGAGAGGTATTCTTTAGGTTAGATAACATTGGTTTAGATTGGGTTAGAAAAGGGTCATTTTATCCGGAAAAAAAAACCTACAGCGTGTTTACCCCTGGTGTATGAACCCGAGATGATTAGTTATGGTCCGGTGTGTGTGTGTGTGTGTGTGTGTGTGTGTGTGTGTTGTGTTTGTGTGTGTGTGTGTGCAGGTCCAGTCTTCGCCTCAGAGACCTAACACCTTCATATATTCAAAATGTGTTCACTGCCACCGCTAAATTAGTTTTTGTGCGTGAATTACAATTCTGGTGTTTACTAACTAACACCTGGAATGTGTGTCTGTGTGTGTGTGTGTGTGTGTGTGTGTGTGTGTGTGTGTGTGTGTGTGTATGTGTGTGTGTGTGTGTGTGTGTGTGTGTGTGTGTGTGTCTGTGTGTGTGTGTGTGTGTGTATGTGTGTGTGTGTGTGTGTGTGTGTGTGTGTGTGTGTGTGTGTGTGTGTGTGTGTGTGCATGTGTGTGCATGTGTGTGTGTGTGTGTGTGTGTGTGTGTGTGTGTGTGTGTGTGTGTGTGTGTGTGTGCATGTGTGTGTGTGTGTGTGTGTGTGTGTGTGTGTGTGTGTGTGTGTGTGTGTGTGTGCATGTGTGTGTGTGTGTGTGTGTGTGTGTGTGTGTGTGTGTGTGTGTGTGTGTGTGTGTGTGTGTGTGTGTGTGTGTGTGCATGTGTGTGTGTGTGTGTGTGTGTGTGTGTGTGTGTGTGTGTATGTGTATGTGTATGTGTGTGTGTGTGTGTGTGTGTGTGGTGTGTGTGTGTGTGTGTGTGTGTGTGTGTGTGTGTAATAATAATAATAATAATTAACGGTTTATTGAAAAAGTTCTGCAGCCCGAAGGCTGAAAATATACATTGGACATAAATGACTTATTACATACATTGGTGGTTTAACAAAAGCCTTCATTAGAGAAAGGTAAAGGAACATACAGTGAACATACAGATTAATGTAGGTGTTGAACAGCAAAAACGTAGTGTAGTAACTCCCTCCCAGATGGTGTTAGGAGGGACCTCACGTGGTGTAGTAGTTCCCTCACAGATGGTGTTATGAGGGCCTCACGTGGTGTAGTAATTCCCTCACAGATGGTGTTATGAGGGGCCTCACGTGGTGTAGTAATTCCCTCACAGATGGTGTTATGAGGGGCCTCACGTGGTGTAGATATGATCCCCCTCACAGATGGTGTTATGAGGGGTGGTGTAGTAATTCCCTCACAGATGGTGTTATAGTAAGTAATTCCCTCACAGATGGTGTTATGAGGGGCCTCACGTGGTGTAGTAATTCCCTCACAGATGGTGTTATGAGGGGCCTCACGTGGTGTAGTAACTCCTTCACATATGGTGTTATGAGGGGCCTCACGTGGTGTAGTAATTCCCTCACAGATGGTGTTATATGAGTGAGGTGTGGTTCCAGGCCTTCCTATCGTAGACGGATTAACACATCGCTGGTAGTTGGGTCTCACAGGCCGTTATCACTGGGTACCTGGGACCTCACTGTGTGAAAGGTCAACTTGGGTACCACTGTTACTGTTGAGTTGTTCTCACTGACTTAAGCACTGTTCACCACTGTTCACCTCTGTTTAACACTGGTTCCATTTCTTTCCTAAATGAAATAGTAACTTCTGGCGTGAACTTGTTGATATTCCGGTGGGGAGGAGGGTTCAGGGGAGGGAGTTGGTATGGGCCAACATAACAGTTGACCTGGCTGCTCCGAGAGGAGCGCCAGGTACGTCTTGACCCTTCGGTGGTCAAGGATGTGTGTGTGTGTGTGTGTGTGTGTGTGTGTGTGTGTGTGTGTGTGTGTGTGTGTAGGTCTCCAGGTCTGTGATTGATGTGGTCCTGTCATTATGAATGATGGCTTCCTAAAGCTGACCTGGGCATCAACTTCATCATTTGTCACACCTCATCTGCATTATATCATTTCCCCATCATTCCGTATTCACTATTACTTCAGTATTTAGTATTCTTTTAACCCCAGTATTTTTTAATTTCAATTAAAATTCGATACAATTCCCCTAAGATACCCTTTTCAGGTCGATGGTTAAGCTGTAGCATCGCCCGTAGCAATGATTAAAACATAAACTCATCTCCTTCAAGAGGGTAAATTTTAAACAAACGTCTCTAAAAAGGGTTATAATTTAACCCATCATCCTTAAGGGGTTAATACATAAGCCAAAGTTGCAGTGGCACACACACACACACACACACACACACAAATAATAAATAAATAAATAAATCACAGGTGGCAAAAAAGATGTATTAAGCGACAGACACAGCGCTGTACAGCCCTGATGGTGTACAGTTTAATAAATGGCTGCTTTCATTGTTGTTTTTGCTGTTGGTTTATCATCTGCAGCGAGCTAATGTGTGTGTGCGGAGGTCAAGTATTCTGGTATATTGTGCGAAGCCGAGTGTTCTGGCACAATATTTATAGAATTAAGTGTTCTGGTACAATGTGTGTTGAGGTCCGGTGTTCTGGCACAATGTGTGTAAAGGTCGTGTGTTCTGGTACGATATGTGAAGAAGATAAGAGTTTTGGTACCATGTGTATAGTATAGTAGTGTAGCGGCTTAGGTTAAATATTTGTTACAAATGTTCACGTTGTAACAAATGCACCAAAATTTGCAGAAACCCGTTTCAGAGCACTTGGAATCATATAAGAGTGGGAACCCATCTCCATCTTTTTTAATTTGGAATACATTCAAGATGGAGTCCAAAAAGGCCGTCATGGCGTGAATTTCTCATATCTCAGCTCCTGATTGTCATATAAACACGGTTTTTTAACTACAATGTAGATTTCCAGGCATGTGTGTAATGGTCGAGTGTTCCGGCACAATATGTGTATTGGTCGAGTGTTCCGGCACAATGTGTGGTGGGGTCGAGTGTTCCGGCACAATATGTGTATTGGTCGAGTGTTCCGGCCCAATGTGTGGTGGGGTCGAGTGTTCCGGCACAATATGTGTATTGGTCGAGTGTTCCGGCACAATGTGTGGTGGGGTCGAGTGTCTGGTACAATATGTGTATTGGTCGAGTATTATGGTACAATGTGTGTAGAAGGCGAATATTCTGGTTCACTATTAGGTAATATAGGAATTAATTCTGGTTTCTTTTATGACTCTTGAATTTGGCAAAAAAAATCCTCTTCATTACAGTAATTAAAAAATAGTGAAACGACAACGTGAAACAGTCTGTGACAACGGAAGTGAAATAATATGTTGCAACGCAAGTTAAATAATCTGTTACAACGCAACAGAGGTTAACAGGTGTGCAAATGTTTATCGCTGGGAATTACATGTTTTACATATAAAAATGAGAAACTTTCATGTTGTATTGTGTGTGTGTGTGTGTGTGTGTGTGTGTGTGTAATTATGCTGTAATAAAAAACAGTGAACAACAATGAAAACAACCTACAGGAACTCAAACACCCCTGTCCCGGGGTGCACACAGACTGTCAGCCACTAGACAGAGCTGAATACTGCAGTCAAGTTCTGTTCCTGCAGCACACAAAAAACTTTCCTCAAAGCCAACAATAACCTCTTCCTACAGCAGATAGTTGAGAGATAACACCTTCCTCACGACAACATTTATCTGCGATAGAAAAACTAAACACATAAGCCTATAAATAAGAGGAATTTCAGCTATTTATTCTTACGACAGAAATAACCACACACCCTTATATGAAAACGAAATGGTTATAAAACAAGATGGACAATAAGTAATACAAGAGACACCCGGACAACCAACACTCGTACACATAAAAGCAGTCTCGGGACAACAAAACAAAAGTATATTAAAAAAAACATTCAATTTAATTAACTGGGAACCTTTCTAATAAATGGTGTGGGGAAGAAACAGTTCATCGAATGAACACTAATTTAATAATTTACTGAGCCTTTTGATTATTTATGTAATACTGCAGTAAACAGAACTATAAACTCTTTTTTGGTAGGTTAGGAACGTGACCCAGCATTACAATAAGTTACAGGGCGTATAATAATATAAAGAATACTCTCAGCAGAAGATATGTTCTCGAAAATGAACACATTATGATCATTATCGTTTTCTCAGTATGTCATCCATCAGCTGGTAGTTTTCTTCATCACAATTTCAGAGAACAACACTTGTATTGACCAAATTCTTACAACAACTAGAGAGATAGTTGCCGTTTAGGTTGCTTTTTCTGCACTATTTTCCTTCGTCACAGTGGTCCTATGGCTGTGTCGGGTTGTTATTCTTCTGACCTTAATTTATCTTATCGCTCACCACCATATAAGTCAATAGAAGATTTTAACACAATTCTTCACCACATTTCTAGTTTGGTTTTGAAAGGTACAACTTTGAACTCTTTAAACAAATAAGAAATTCTTATAGAATTAAATTTGTGAGTTATAAAGAAAAGTCGTGAGGTGTCAGAGTGATTTAGTGTTATTAAGGCTTTATGCTTGAGCGTAAGTGTCAGCTGCTTGCCAGTGAGTGACCGAGTGATATGATGGGCGGATCTGTGACTTACCTGCTACTACTTTAGTACAGTAATAACAGTACTATCATTACCCAGTACAATGTCAACTACTTCAGTGCTGCTACAATTATCCACCATTACAAAGCACAACCACTACAATGACACTTACTGAGATGGTTCGTCGGCGTCGCACGTCGGTCGTACGTCGTGAGGAGGTTATCCAAGATCTGCAGGTCTGTCAAGGTCTGCAGATCTGTCATTTGCCCGCACAGCCTAAGAGGAAAGAAGTGGTGTTAAGCAACTTTTGTTATGTTACACACACACACACACGCACAGTAGCAGTAATCCATATATCACTAACACTATTAGTACTAAGCTATACATACAGTGTATCATATCAGTAATACAATAATACATATCCCTATGCCAACTCCCAACTCCAAAGAATGAAGAACAAGTGAAGGCAAAAGAATACACTGCTTCCAAAACATCTTCATATAAGAACACGTGAGTGACGTCTTCAGGATCTGACTCAATCTGGAACTCCAAGTTAACTCGAGTGTCGTGTGTGTGTGTGTGTGTGTGTGTGTGTGTGTGTGTGTGTGTGTGTGTGTGCGTCAAACTTATACTCGAGTTTGTATAGTATATCACTTACTGCTTCTTCCGCGCATAAATTTCCTCCTCCTGTCTCTTCCCTTCCCTTCTTCAATTTCTTCCTCCTTTATCGCGAGTTAAATTTTCTTATTCCACCATCACTGTCCTATCTATCCCTTTTAAATGGTTTGCCAGATGTTCACGTCCACATAACTCTTCAGCTGTACCTTTAAATCCTTCCTTGAAAGTCGCCCACAAACTCTTTACTCTATTCCATCTCTCTCCAATTCTCCCAATTTTCCTCTAACTTGCCCTTTGTACATCTCCCTCTCATCTTCACTACACTTCAACCAGCTAATCATTATACTCCTCCTCCTCCTCTTTATCCTTGTTCCTTCTTTCCCTTCCCAATTATCTCCTCAAACATCTGTTGGATTATACTATGTTTCTTTGTGGTGGTCTGAGAGTATCACCCCCCATCGCTGGCTGGATGCTCTTACCAGATCATTCTTGATTCAGGTGTTGTCTCGTCAATATAATAGTACCTTGTGTGGTTCCTATTTTTGGAAGGAACAGTAGACCACTGTTAAGCAGTTTCTCGCTAGCATCTCCACCAAATACTGCCTTTCCTTATAACTGTTGCTCTAACTATACTTGTCCATTGAGTCTCTCTCCTCCATTTATCTTATCCCAAACTCAGTTCAATCTTCCTCTCCATTGTCTCATCTCCATTTGGACATTCCAATCCACAGTCGCTATCAAGAGGAATTTTGCTTCCGCCTCTCGATAACACCTTCCATTATATGCTTCTCTTTCCTCTTGAGGTCTTCCAGGGTATGTTAAACACCTTGACAAAATAAATATAACCCGTCCCTACAGTAATTAACCTTACTTCCAACTACAACACTTTATTTCTCTACTTATCTACTAATATTCAATTATTACTACATCCTTTGTTCCTTCTCCTCATCCTCCTCTTCCCTTCATCATCCTATAAATATCTCGCCTCAAGTTCTCCTGTTGGCTGGCACACACACCTATTACTGAACACCAACAGCTGAACACCACAGAAGTTTTGAATACAACACTACCTGCCTTAGACAACACAACTGATGTGCTTTTGCAATCGTAATTTTTTTTAATTGATTAAAATATTTAAATTAAATCCACGAGTAAAGTTTCGTGTAAATTGGGTAATGAGCTTGACAGTAAGACATGATGGAGCTAGACGGTAGTGTTGACAATGTTGCAACACTCAACAAGCATGATGGAGTGAGGAAGTAGTGTTGACAATGTTGCAACACTCAACAAGCATGATGGAGTGAGGAAGTAGTGTTGACAATGTTGCTACACTCAACAAGCATGATGGAGTGAGGAAGTAGTGTTGACAATGTTGCAACACTCAACAAGCATGGAGTGAGGAAGTAGTGTTGACAATGTTGCAACACTCAACAAGCATGGAGTGAGGAAGTAGTGTTGACAATGTTGCAACACTCAACAAGCAGGGAGTGAGGAAGTAGTGTTGACAATGTTGCAACACTCAACAAGCATGATGGAGTGAGGAAGTAGTGTTGACAATGTTGCAACACTCAACAAGCATGATGGAGTGAGGAAGTAGTGTTGACAATGTTGCAACACTCAACAAGCATGATGGAGTGAGGAAGTAGTGGTGACAATGTTGCAACACTCAACAAGCATGATGGAGCTAGACGGTAGTGTTGACAATGTTGCAACACTCAACAAGCATGATGGAGTGAGGAAGTAGTGTTGACAAGGTTGCAACACTCAACAAGCATGATGGAGTAAGGAAGTAGTGGTGACAATGTTGCAACACTCAACAAGCATGATGGAGTGTGGAAGTAGTGTCGACAATGTTGCTACACTCAACAAGCATGATGGAGTGAGGAAGTAGTGGTGACAATGTTGCTACACTCAACAAGCATGATGGAGTGAGGAAGTAGTGTTGACAATGTTGCTACACTCAACAAGCATGATGGAGTGAGGAAGCAGTGGTGACAATGTTGCAACACTCAACAAGCATGATGGAGTGAGGAAGTAGTGGTGACAATGGTGCTACACTCAACAAGCATGAGGAAGTGAGGAAGTAGTGTTGACAATGTTGCAACACTCAACAAGCATGATGGAGTGAGGAAGTAGTGGTGACAATGTTGCTACGCTCAACAAGCATGATGGAGTGAGGAAGTAGTGTTGACAATGTTGCAACGCTCAACACTCAGATATTGCAGACTCTGCTGCAATTAATCATCAATTTCCGAGTTATGAATTATGCTGACACCTGCATCTGGTGACATCTGTATGTGCTAACACGAGTGCTCTCTCCCCCTCCCCCTAGTGTTTATTTAACGTACAGTTTACACGTATTATTACATACAGTATGTTCATAGCCCATCCACATCTTTTTTTCCGCATCTCTTGGTCTCTTAAGTAACCCTGAACATCACTGAGACACATGACAGTACAGCTACCATCACTAAGAGACATGACAGTACGGCTACCATCACTGAGAGACATGACAGTACAGCTACCATCACTGAGAGACATGACAGTACAGCTACCATCACTGAGAGACATGACAGTACAGCTACCATCACTGGGAGACATGACAGTACAGCTACCATCACTGAGAGACATGACAGTACAGCTACCATCACTGGGAGACATAACAGTACAGCTACCATCACTGAGAGACATGACAGTACAGCTACCATCACTGAGAGACATGACAGTACGGCTACCATCACTGAGAGACATGACAGTATGGCTACCATCACTGAGAGACATGACAGTACAGCTACCATCACCAAGAGACATGACAGTACAGCTAACCATCACTGGGAGACATGACAGTACAGCTACCATCACTGGGAGACATGACAGTACAGCTACCATCACTGAGAGACATGACAGTACAGCTACCATCACCGAGAGACATGACAGTACAGCTACCATCACTGGGAGACATGACAGTACAGCTACCATCACTGGGAGACATGACAGTACAGCTACCATCACCGAGAGACATGACAGTACAGCTACCATCACTGGGAGACATGACAGTACAGCTACCATCACTGGGAGACATGACAGTACAGCTACCATCACTGGGAGACATGACAGTACAGCTACCATCACTGGGAGACATGACAGTACAGCTACCATCACTGGGAGACATGACAGTACAGCTACCATCACTGGGAGACATGACAGTACAGCTACCATCACCGAGAGACATGACAGTACAGCTACCATTAACTAAAGTACAGGAGGGGAAACTGGGACGTTTTAAAAATAAAATTTAGTTGTTTATTTAGCCATGATCACAAAGATACAAAGTGAACAACATCAATAATACCATGACTGAGCCTTGCAAATGCCGTTGCCTTTTTGACGGTACCTGATAAATACTGTACATTTATCTGAACAAAAATAACAGTATTATCTGGATTACAACAACTTACTTGGTGTTAGCAAAGAAACATTGAACTTTTATGAATAATGTACTCCAGGCCAGGCAATCTAGGTTCACTATAATGTACTACAGGTACTCCATGTTCACCAGTTATGTACTACAGGTACTCCATGTTCACCAGTAATGTGCTACAGGTACTCCATGTTCACCAGTAATGTACTACAGGTACTCCATGTTCACCAGTAATGTGCTACAGGTACTCCATGTTCACCAGTTATGTACTACAGGTACTCCATGTTCACCAGTAATGTACTACAGGTACTCCATGTTCACCAGTAATGTACTACAGGTACTCCATGTTCACCAGTAATGTACTACAGGTACTCCATGTTCACCACTAATGTACTACAGGTACTCCATGTTCACCACTAATGTACTACAGGTACTCCATGTTCACCACTAATGTACTACAGGTACTCCATGTTCTCCACTAATGTACTACAGGTACTCCATGTTCACCACTAATGTACTACAGGTACTCCATGTTCACCACTAATGTACTACAGGTACTCCATGTTCACCACTAATGTACTACAGGTACTCCATGTTCACCACTAATGTACTACAGGTACTCCATGTTCACCACTAATGTACTACAGGTACTCCATGTTCTCCACTAATGTACTACAGGTACTCCATGTTCTCCACTAATGTACTACAGGTACTCCATGTTCACCACTAATGTACTACAGGTACTCCATGTTCACCACTAATGTACTACAGGTACTCCATGTTCACCACTAATGTACTACAGGTACTCCATGTTCACCACTAATGTACTACAGGTACTCCATGTTCACCACTAATGTACTACAGGTACTCCATGTTCACCACTAATGTACTACAGGTACTCCATGTTCACCACTAATGTACTACAGGTACTCCATGTTCACCACTAATGTACTACAGGTACTCCATGTTCTCCACTAATAAGAACATAATAAAATAAGGAGTCTGCAATAGGCCGGTTGGCCTGTGCATGGCAGCTCCTGTCGAGAGTTACTACCACTCTCTATCATCCATGAATCTATCTAGCCTCCTTTTGAAACTTTCCAGAGTTCCCGCACTTACTACAAAGCTGCTAAGCTTGTTCCATTCGTCCACCACCCTATTTGTGAACCAGTTTCTTCCAATCTCCCTCCTAAACCTAAACTTATCCAACTTGAATCCGTTGTTCCGAGTCCTATCC